GCAACGTTGTGGTTGTATTTCGCTTAGTAACCTGCCATGAAAATTATAGAAGGCAGAAAACAAAACGTTAAACGCTATAGTTATAATCACAATCTTATCTTTCGCAAAAATACCCTGCCGTTAAATAGAATAGGCAATAAATAAAAAGGTTAACATGCAGAGATATTTGGAAAACTCAGATACCAAGCCAGAGTCGAACCCACGATTATCCTTTCCGAAGGATGTGTTTCCAACAGCACCATCGAGGCCTTTGATTTACTTTTCTCTCAGCCAGTTTTTTTCACTCTAACCCTGCTATCAGCAATCATTAACTAACTAGAATCATATGGGAAGCACAAACTGGCACAGAACCCAGTTAAGGAGTTAAGGTGGTGCCGCAATCGAAATCATAATGTGTAACTTTTCGTCTACCGCTTATTATTTAACTTTGTTGACTGATAGAAGGGCAAACCAAACGCCTCAGTCATAGGTAACGCATGAGCCCCCGGAAGGGGTAATCACTGGTTCGAATCTGGCCTGTGGTTTGGGCTTTGCAAATATCTCAACGTCATTCTGGTTACTTACTAGTCCGCTCTGAAGAAGATTCACACGAGTTGAGCACGTTAATCAGTTAAATGGTGTGCTGCTGATTAGACAATATTTCTATCTGAAATCTTGGAAAAGCTATAACAGGGTGCTCCGAGATCTTCATTAGTAGTAATTTCCGAACATTGAGGATCAGAATGGATACTGCCATCTTTACATCAACTCTGCTTCAGGGCGAACGCAATTTTTGACATTGCTTTAACCACAACTCGGCTTCCAGATGAAACGTTTAATGTCATTGTCAGCTTGTTTATTGTTTCAGAATGTCTGTTCATGTTTTAGAATGAGCTCTCGACTGTTTGATGCTCAGAACACCTCGTAGTCACAAAAATGTTGAAGATAAAAGAAAAGGTAACATTGGCTATAGAAGAAAGTATCCCACTACGCGAGTATAAAAATAATTCAAAAGACTGACTTCCCATAAACCTCGGCATAAATAATTGACATATCTATTTATACGATCTTACAAACTGATCTTCTTAAGCCAATGCGAGATTGGTACAAGTTTTCGTTGTCGTCGTTGTTCGTTGTGGACACCCATTGTTACGAGTGGGACAGTCGTAATAGCACAACATTAAGGCGAAATGGTCGAAACGACAGACATCGACCAACAAAACCAACAACGACAAGCAGAACTTATACCAACCTCGCATCAACTCAACAAGATCAGTTTATACGATCATGTAAGTAAATACAAAAAAATATTCTTCAAAAATAGTTTATCAACTTCGTGTAAGTCCAACAATATAAACGCATAAAAAACTCTTATTTGGAATTAGAGTTGAACGGATCCTCCTACCACTTTTATTCAACTGTTTCGCCGACAAAAGGATTAAGCTACGGCTTGCCAATATTTACTTAAATTATATTCTACTAAGCGAATTTACACGGACGCGTGTGGGGCAGTGGTTGGAGGGGCCACCGCGACACAGACGTGGAATCGATCCCCGCGCCCATGACCCGCCAAGCCTTCCATCCCTCCGGGGTCGGCAAACTGGCACCAGACTTGTCTGGGAGGATAGCACCACTGGCTCGATACATCGGTAGGCCACCGCGAGTAATTGTAAACGGCCAGATTCAATACCTCCAACGATACCTAATGAAGTCGAATGCATGGCGCATCGTTCAGGGATTGATGAACGCCGGGAGCTTTACCCTTTTATGAACTTTTAAGCGCATTTACATATTCATTCAGTGGATCGCCACTCATGGAGCTGGAATTTCAAATGGGATATGGAGAACATGAAACCTTTGCTTAGTTCTGAAAAACTTGAAGAAATTCTTTCCATAAATCGAAAAACCATCGTGAACTGATTTCTGATACCGAAGCACATCTTTCTCAAGTGTTGGATGGTTAATATCGTTAACCAGGGGAGGTTATGGGAGGTTATTAGTTTCCTTCAACAAAATATATTCCACGTGAATTTAAGATACTGCCATCCGGAAACTTCGAATTGATAAAATTGTGTGATAACATGAGTCTGAAGAAGAGAGACAAGCAACAGTACCATTTGCACAACTTTCGACCACGTCACGTAACTTAGAAGAACTCCTTCACTACTCTGTCTCTCTAGCCATAATGAAGTTCTAGGCCAGTGCAGGAGTAATTAATATTATCACTGCTAGTATATTATTTGCTTATCGAACAAAAGAAAACGGATGAAACCCTCAACTTTCACTCAACAAACTCTACCACTCTCATTACTTTTCGAAGATGACGCTGCTGGGTCTGTTCGCCAACGAGCACCGAAACCCTGTGAAACCAAGATGTAGTGCTTCGTACTAATTAAGGCTATGGAAAACTGTCATCTTTACAATGAACCCCAAACAATGACTGGGAAACTCGTATTCAAATGCATGGCTATGGAATCACGTCATTCACTACCACACTTTCGTTCCTCTGAAAAGAGATGAACAATAAGTGTCTAGGTTCGATCTTCCTCTCAGGAGTGCTTTATGCATTCAACTCCACCCGTAGTATCATAACGGTGATCGAATGCATATTTGCGCCAATACCGTGACATGCACCAACCAACCGCTGTAATAAGTCCTCGTTTTTATCCTCTCAAATAATCCTGGTACCACTTTACGGAACTCGGAACGATGGAGGATTGCTTAGATCGAGGTTTGAACTCCAACCAAAAACTGTGGGCACCTATGAATGAGATGCTGGGATCAGATGTCGTATATTATTCCGTGTGAACATTTAAGAAAAATCCACGCGAGTGGTAAAACCATTTGTTCGTTATAATTAAACTACTCAAAGTTTCATTGTTGCTGGCAGATTTCTGAAGAAAGTAACTGCTCATCGTTGTCATCGACTATCCAAGTGAGCAATAGTACTTTGAAAAAAGCGAAATTTACTTCATGAATAATATGTTGGCCTCATAAACAAGAACAGCCTTGATACTAAAATTGTGATGCTTTTCCTGTCGTTTGAACAAGTCCATCCCACTGATCAGGTCTGATGCTTGTTGAATGCAAATGGTGCTTTATGACTTCCACTCGAGTTACAAGATGATTAACGGGTTATCACAGTAATACGCATGTGTGATCACATGTGATAATTCCAACTACTACTCTACGTGTTTTATAGATACATTGTGTATAATTTGCATTCTTTTATCAACTTGTTATTTTCTCTGAATCCTGAAAAATACTTTGTTACTTTACTCAAACGACCTTCACCAAACTCCGGTGTGAATAATCAGTAAATTTCCTGACATTACTCAGCATAAGGTTAGTATAAATGTTTTTTTGGCCAGCGTTTCCATCTCTCTGTAATCTTCAACTAGCATATGTTCTGGAATGAAACTTCAGCCTCCCAATGGTTTACCTCCTCACCGTGGCTGGGAGGCGTTCCTGGGTATAGGGCTGTGATGTAGAGCGGGGTCCGACGTTTCCATCAGGAAGCCTAGCTAAGAGTAAATCAGTGCCAGGATCCGTCACCGTCTTGGTAGCAAACTAGTCGCGTGGTGGCAAACCAAAACTCCAAGAAAATGGAGATTGTGCTGGGGCCTGCACAATCAATGAGGACGGGCCATCAAAACGTACAGGTAAGTATGTTTCCTTCAGAGACGATTTTATCGCGTTGATAGTCGAGAGTTGTTCGGTCTCGCAATGTGGCTCTTCATAGTTGTTTCGATTCAAACCATCTGAAGTGGAGCATGTCTCAAATGGTGCAACTTTAATCGGCGATGTCATCTTATAGAGTTGTCGACTGACACTGCAAGTTATAGTGCTACTTTTTTTTACTTAATTTTATACTCATTCACATCTACTGTGCCGATGGTAGCACTTCCCACATTCGATTCGTTTCCACGCATCCATCATCCACGAAGGTTTTCCAACCTTTACGTGTGGCTTCAGCTGCTTCAGGATTTTCCTTTCATCATGAATGCCATTGAATGCTAGTCGAGTTGATTCTCCCCGGAGTCTTGATATAGGCGGGCTAGAGCGTTACAACTAGGATTGCAGAGTGGTCTTTTCTCGGACAAGTCCGGCACCAATTTCCCCACCCCGAAGGGGTGATAGGTTTGATGGGCCTGGAGAGGAACAAGCCGGCACAGTGCTCATGATAACCGGAATCACCACCACTGTGCTACGCGCACGTTATGGTACTATATCATCGTTTTTTATGGTGCTATGAAAGAATAACTTAATTAACTCTCTTCTGCTTCACTCGGTCTTCCAATAATTTCCCCACATTCTATGTAAAACAAACAATAATGATTAATACATTCATCGAGAAAGATCTGAGGAATAAACATTACCCATAGAGGCTAAGGAAATGCAAATATTCGATGTTCAACACATTTCATCATCAAATATAACACAGAATTTTGACAAAAGCTTCCTATTTCATTAGGTGTCACAGGTTTTGGGCACAGATCAATCCGGTCATCACTTCAATAATCCACTCCCAGTCGACAAAAATTATTCAAATACAGCCATAAACGTTAAATCTGTGTATGTTTCAATAAGAAATAAAGAAAGGGCAGCTGAGAAACTTCGACATGGATTTGTGGTCCAAACTGATTAAATCTGATTCAGTTCGACGCCGAGGTACTCCAGTAAGTTGTTAAATTCCCAATTCAGGCGCTCCTCAAAAATAATGTGGGAAAGAAAAAACACACACATGCGAACGAAACTCACAGACAATAACGGAAAAAAAGAGAATGAGAGGAGAATCAGATAAATTAGAAATACATGAAAATAAGATGGATGGTAAGATGAGATGGAGATGGAAGATGGAAAATAAGATGAGTCAGTGAATGAAAAGCTGACAAATTGAGAGGAACGTTGAGCTCAACGAAATATGTAAGCTAATCCGGTTAAAGTATGTATTAGAAATCATAAGCGAACAACGTTAATCTTTTGTACGATGTGTGAATTTCGTACGAATTGAAGGGATTTCAAACGGTGATCATCAATATGTAGCCAACTAACGGCAAATATGGTTTCAGAAGCGGTCCAATGTATGGTGTCCAAAGTATGTACTCGACAATATACCAGTACGCTTTGAACTGTAAACGTCCCCAAGACGGAAAGTTTCGTCGAACTTCAACCTGACCGGATTCCATGCGTTCACGTGCTTGTTCCACCTAAATAGAGAACATACTTAATACTTGAACGGCCCGTCCTCACTGGTTGTGTGGGCCCCAGCACAATCACCATTCTTCGGATATCTGCTGATTAACCTATTGTGGTTCGCTGGAATCCCGAGGTCAACCTGGCCAAAGTTTGCGCCAGGTCTCCACCAGGGGCAGTCGCAGACCTTGTGGATCAGAGGGAGATTTGTCACAATGTGACTTTAATACCGGCACGGTGGTGTTGGTTTACTCTCAGCTAGACTACCTGATAGAAACGCTGGACTCTTTCTCAGCTTGGGAGGCCTGCGGGGAGACGAATCCCCTCGGCGTACATCGCAGTCCGACACCCAGGAACACCTCAGCCATAATGAGGCGGTAAACCGTTGGGAGGAATAGAGTACATAGGCCGAGGTAAAGTGCAGTTGCCTCTGCATAATCTGAGCAGAGCTGAAGTCTACGTTGCGAATCGAAACCGTTGTAAAAGAGTGTTAGCTAACCTTCTCATAATCACAGGTACCATTACTGTCCACAAAATGAAATCCAAACTTTCCGAGTTGCATAAGTTTAGATCCCCCATCTAAAAAAAGAAGTACAGACATTCTAATTTATTCAGAAATTGTTGAACTTATCTATTCTGACGATTTTACAACGAATGAAGCTGAAACTGTTGAAATACTTCAGCTAGTAAGTTTATAAATGTAAAGAGCTACACAACAGAAAGACAGGAAAATTCACAAACAAAAAATCAATTAAAAAAAAAACTGTAAATAAATAATAAACGATGGGAAAACAAAAACAGCTAGCATTATTATCACCTGTCTCGCAATCCAACTGTAAAATGTATGGAGGATTTTTCTGCGAAGTGTACATCCACTCCCATGAATGAGCCAACCTGATGTTGTAAATGAAATCTCATAAAGCTTATTGACCAAAACAAAAATTTCTAGAAGACTTATTTCAACTCTCGAAAAGGATATCAGAGAATTTGAACTACTAATCCTGTTGAAAAATCAAGTACATTTAAAGGATTGATACGAACTTCGACAGAAGTTCACTACCTACAAAGATGTAGAACCAACCAACAGCGAGGCAAATGCGAGCGAACCTACGCATTTAGATTTTTTCAGACAATGGGAAACTTCCCAGAAAAGCCTCTATTACAAGGATGGCGCAAAAATAATGGTGGAGTTTGATCGGCAACTTCTAAATGCTATATTAGTCTAAACTCAAATCCACTAATCAGCTTAAAGACCATCTACAACTTTTTCCCCCAAGTTAGAAATTCCATTCTTCTAATAACGTGAAATTCCGAAGTTCTGGAGGTGACAAATGCATCGATAGAATTTTCGTCAGGGAATTCATTGTTGAAAAATTTCCCAGTAAATAGCTGTCGAAAGATGAGAAGTGGTAGTCGGTTTGTAAGAGATTCCATGAATGGTGATAAGTGGTAGAGTTTTGCAGCCTAGTTCTTTCAACTTCCACGAGATTATTTGTACAAGTGGTTTGGTGTCGCTGTGCAGGATAACTGGGGCGGAAATGTCACGGCCGATTTTATGTGATGAGAACGAAATGCCACTCTATCGTGAAAGCTAGACTTTGGAAAGTTTTTAGGACATTTATTTCAGTTCAACCATCAGCTAGAACTCAGATATGAGATGATCTTCTTCAACTGCTGATTGACATTGCAGCCATGACTTTCTTTGTCAACAAGACTCATATCTTCGATACGAAACTTTTTAAAGTCATTTGCACAATATGGGTTCGGAAGTGTTTCTCTGACCCTTCACGACATCTCGAGAACCTTTTCCACAGCAAACCCAAGTTTGAATTCGTAAAATAAAGCAATACGATCTGCCTGCCATGGAGGAATCATTTTAACCTGTTTACAATCACTGTGAAATAAGTGTTAGAAAAGCACTTTATGACAAATCGTTGAGGAGGAAATAAACTTAAAGGTGACAATATAAGATCAAGTAAGCAATGGATAGTTGCTTTTACGGAATGCATTTAGGAATTTTTTCTTTCATTCTACAACACCCATCATATATATTATACATATATATTATATATAATATATATTTTATATATATATTATATATATTGTGCGGATCCCAACACCTCTTTCATGGATTTGATTACTTTTTGAGGATTCTATTCGTGTCTTTTAAGAATACCATTAAGTGGTGATCCATTCGGCTTTTCCTCGAATCCTGGGGTCTGTGCTGGCACGTTTCCAGGGTTCAGTATAGGGAGTTACCAGCTTTTCTGGATTGGGAGAAAGTCTTCTCTAGACAAGTCTTATATCAACGTCTCAACTGCGAAGGGATAGAAACTATCGTTAGTGCAGGGTAGTGTGGAACCAGTGATTCTGCACGCATTAATGAATGGCATTTCTCGAGAAAATTTTCAACCATGTTGAGTATCTTCTCTAACTATTTAAATAAACAGTTGCACACTCGTTACACTAACTGTGAAGTGATTCTATTTAGTACGTACGATGTAAACAGAGAACCTTTTCTGTCTAATTAGACGAATTACAGTTGCACGTTCCTTACGCTAACAGCAAAATGTTTCGATCTCGTGTGTTTGTTGCAAGTGCTCATTGATCGTATTCTTCGTTTGTTTGTTAGAAATAAAGGTTTATTTACCCAATTCCGAAATTGACGGTGTGGAAACAACAATCTCAGGATCCTCGCAAAAAACGGGCAGTTATATGCAAATTCAAGAAATCTGCTCAAAACCGTATGGGATTTCAATCAAAGAGTAAGCCAACCTCCAGCATTCTTACTTAGAGCCCAACGTCGTGGGTTCATCTACCAACTACAGCTTACAGATCAATTGTAGCACCATAAAACTACAATTTCTACTTCATGGCTCCCATTCATAACCTCTCAAACGTTAAGGGTCCTATATATTAAAGAATATTTACGAGGTAGGCATCACGACACAGATGCACTTTCGGAAGTCGAACAGAGACTTAAGGATGACTAATGAACTAATTAGTCTCTACACTATCTGATATCCAACTGATTCTTCCACTACTAAACTACTATAAATAGTGAGTAGCGCATCGATCACCACGACACACTGGCGTTTCAATCGCAGCTATCACTACATTTTCAACCATTGTTCTTCACGAGCTCATTTGAAAAAATTGTAAGAAAATCTCATATTATTCTGCAATTACTTTATACATATCAGAAGTCGAGTTATATCCTGCGTAGAGAAAACAATATAGCAACTTACTCATACGGGAGGTAGGCACACCGTGGTCGGCCCCATGTTTGACATTGATGGATCATTATTCCCATATCTGGTATATACCAATGAGCCAATTTATCCGACAATCCTTCGAAAAACTTTATGGTGTCGTTATTAGCTCGTACGAAGAAATTCGCTCCTAAAAACTTTCCAATTACGAAAAGAAGAATCACAATATTTTTACAGCAATGAAGAAGCTGAAGATTTTTAGACAGACCGAGCTACATATAGATAAAGCTCTATTGAAGTTCACAAAAATTTCCAACTATAAGCGTTCGTCGCTCACTGATATCCCCTTTCTAAATACAGGAATACATGTCTGCCCTCTTGACACGCAATCATGATAACAATTTTCAGCAAAACAGAGTAGCAACTCACATGCGTCATGAGAAAATCAGGTCAAACTAGGACACAAAATGACAGATAACTTCTATCATTAGGGCAACTGTGCCAGTTACAAACTGTTTAAAGGTCAACGATGGAAAGAAAAAGTAACCAACACAATGAATAACACCACTTCTTAAAAAGTGCTAAAATAGGTCATTACGGGAAAAAACCAATAAAAGCGCACTTTGGAATCAAACTAAATATGAATGGAGCGAGGAAAATCACTACTTGGCTCTTCCTCTTGTTAAAGTAAACAAAACTTCATGAACTTAAGCACCAGATGCTATGCACTAAACCAAATTCACGGAATAAAGTACGGCAAATGAATAAACCCTAAGTATACAAAGTTAGTAAGGTAAAAAATGGCCCGACGCAAGTTCATCGGTAGGATCTAGTTTGATGAAGAGCGTTATTAAGTCCTTAACAGAAGAAACGATGATTACAAGACAATCTCTTCGTTCTAATTCTTAGATGAACTGCATAAAATTTTCCCTATCATTTGGAAATACTACTGCATGCATAAAAGTTTTCACTTAACAAGCAACATATTGGATTAGAAAGAAAGATGCTCCGAAACCTTATCACTTGCCATTGATCCAAGTGGTCCTCATACTTTTATCACCTGAACCAAGTTGGTCGAATATCGCGTCATAAGACAAATCATCTTCAAAACCAAGATCAAAGAAATTCTTGCGCCAAAATGTATCCTGCTGCATCATCCAGAACGATTTGCCTCTGAAGCATCCCGTAAAGCAAAAAGGAAAATAGAAAACAAAGTAGGGAAGAGAGGAAATCTTAGGAAGAGAACAAAGACTTTAGCGCGATAAACAAATTCAGAGGTGGTTCAACATTTTTGAGCACTTAGAAGAAGTATCTAGGAAAATTCTCCGTAAACACTAACTGTATAGAGAGACAACTATTAAAGAAGTTTAACAGCTCAACCAAAGAAAAAGTAGGAAACGATATAAAAATTCGGAAATTTAAGGGGCCAATTTAACAACTAGACCAGAAAAGGTATTACTTGATACTTGAACGGCCCGCCCTCACTAGTTGTGCGGGCCCCAGCATAATCACCACTTTTCGGAGCTGCTGATTAAGCCATTGTGGTTCCCTGGAATCCCGAGGACACTCTGGCCGAAATCTGTCCCAGGTCGTCACCACGACAGGCAGTCGCACCCCTTGTGGATCAGGGGAAATTTGCCACCATGCGACTTTGATACCGGGACGCTGGTGGATCCCGGTATTGGTGCACTTTTAGCTAGGCTTCCTGGTGGAAACGACTCCTTCCGAGTTTGAGAGACCCTGTCGGGGGGGGGGGGGGGGGGGGGGGGGNGGGGGGGGGGGGGGGGGGGGGGGGGGAGGGGGACGAATCCTTCTGCTGTACATCGCAGTCCGACACCCAGGAACACCTCCTAGCCACGATGAGGCAGTAAACCGTTGAAGAAGAAATAATACTAAGCAAAAAACACGAAAAAGGATCTAAAGCGATGAAACACTTACTTCCGTAAGAGACTGAGAGCAAGATTGGCTCGAAGTAAATAAATCGTCTGGTAAGGTCCTTCAGCGAAACTGAACGGCTTCTGAAATGACTAAGTATGAAGAAGATTCCGTACAGAAATTCGAGTAGTGAATTTCCAAGACTGGCAGAAAAAAAAGTATTAGTTAAGAAGACGGTTAAATTAAATAATGAATCTACAGCATGGTTGTAGTAGAAAACTAAGGACTCACACAAGCAAACTTCCTAACACTCTAAAAAGTATGAATATCAAATACGTTAGTTCTCTTAAATGTCCAATCCTTCACGTGGTTTTTTTGGATTTCGAAAAAAGAACGAAGAATATTTAATATTTCGCCCACAAAAACGAATAAAAGATAAAATTCGGGGTGTTTGTCAACCTCGTAAGAATGTCTGAAGCATTCGATTGCATTCATGATACCGTAGGGATACCTATCGATATATCAAGCCAGTGCTTTATCAGACTAGGCCAGATTAGTATCAATTCGCGCATCTTAGAGCGATAGGCGAAAGGAGGTTGGAGCTCGAGGCTTGGTTATATCGTGCGTAAGGTCGAACAACAACAAGCCATGTGTGCATTTCATGCCACCTTCAACCAATTTACTAATGCGCGGCTTATTATTTACTTATTTATTTATTTGTTCGTTTATTTACTACATGACACGATATCGTATGTATCAGACAGTGCCAATCCAAGTACTTCCTATTCGTTTCCTCTTATCCACACTTTCCACGATCCTCTTCAAACTTCTTTGTGTGTGGGTTCGGCTGCTGCTTGAGGATTTCCGACTTCTCCATGAATGTCACTGAATGCTGGTCGAGTTCACACTAGCTGCAATCCTGGGATAGCAGTACTAGAGCGTTCCCGCATGGATCGGCTAGAGTGAGCGTGTCTCAGACACTTCTGGTAGCAGTTTACCGAACGCGGGAACATGAGGGGCCTGCTGCAGGGCCGAAGCAGATTCTAAGTCGGTTGAGTTATATGTGTACTGAATGGAACCACTACTACCGCGCTAATCACTCTTTCTAACCATACCTTTCCTAAAGTATATGGACTTTGTAATGCAAATGCATGCTGATGACATCTCATCATTCAAATTTTACGACTCGTCGTCACGGAAGAGTACAACTATTGTAAAACATCAAAGGCCGCCAATCGGTGTGGAATTCGCACGGATAATCGGTGGACTGGCACATCGGCCACTGCACGGTCATTGCGTTTCTATAGCTTTGAAGGATTAGCGAAAACACGAACGCAAGTGAATAGCGAAGGATGAAGATGATCGTGGGAAAAAATTTCAAGCGACGTGTTGAATAGTAGAGAAGGATGCATGACCAAAATCCGCAAACTAAACTTAATGTTAAATAATCAATAACTCTAAATTTGAAAATAAAAAACCTTAAGAACTATGTCTACCCACTGTCGCGAATGATAAAACCATTCATGGGCTGCATTAATGGTGGTGTTCAACCGAACGCGAATTGTTAGATACAAAATCGCACTTGGTAAAAAATTCATAAAACACCGAAATTATTTCTAAATAAGGGATGGACGCTACTAAACAAAATTCCGACATGATTTGATAGCCTCATCATGGACTTCCACGTTTAAGATTCAATACGATACTTAGATTTTCTACAACAAGATCTCAAACTGTAATAACTGGTAGTATAGATAGAATTGGCTGAGAGACAGGCGAAGCGAAACGAAAGACACAAATGGTGTGGTGGTGAACGCGTTAGCCTCTGTAAAGGGTATTAGCGCTTTCGTTCCCCACCATAAACACCTGTGGTCCGGAGTTTTGCATATATCTCAGCATCATTGTGGTTGAGTCACTGGTAATATAATTAATTCAAAGTACTCACATAAAGGCTTGGAGTTGGCCAGTGAAATTGTCGGATATTCGGCCATGTCTTTCTCAGCTCATCACGAGCCACCGTATCCAAGGTGACAAAGATCAATCGTTCATGTACTCCTTGCAAACTTGCAGTGTTACACAGGAAATTATACGTCATATTAAGTGCATATTGATTGAGCATAAGAAATGCTGGAGGTTTGACGAACTTCTCATCAAGTATTTGGATAAGTTCATCGAATTCACGAGAATTCTCAATGACTTCATGAGCAACCGTATGCCCATGTCGTTTCACATAACGTACTGCAGTAATTGCGTTCTGTGTTTTACGCAGAACGAGAATTCCGAAAATGAACCAAAACGTATAGAAAAGAATCAGTGGTAGTCGCCATAAGATTCTCTCTGCTCGACTCGTTTTACCCTTACACCTCCTTGATGGTACAACGACGGTGTCATCAGCATGTGACGACGTTGCTGATACTTCGTCACCGTCGTCAGTAGCGTTGTGAACATGACGACGTCGTAATTTTGTGCTCATTGGCCTAACACTGTAGTGGCGTGTATCGATTTGTTGCGGTCCCAGTTGGCAGGATAGACAACGATCTGAAAACAATTGAACAACATGCAGATGATGGACAAAGGAATCAGGAACATGTTGTTAGTGCGTAGAAAAACATGAAAGTAGCGGAATCACACACGTAGAAACAAAATCGCAACTGTCACTAGTCACACTTGAAAATTATTGCAAAAAGAAGTAGTAAAGGAAAATATGAAAATAAATCAATTGTCAAAACGAGACTGAACGAAAACTGATCAAGATGTTAAGGTTCAGTTGTAACCCTGAAGTGATTTCCGGTAAGAGCTGGTAACCAGTCAGTAACTACAGATGGTCAGATGACGGGTCCATATAGGGAGACAGAGCATTGTATCCTGCCTGTATCACGCTGTGCGAAATACCGTTTGATGGATCGATTCGTTGTTCAAAATACGAGCATTCACAGAAAAAGAGTAAAAAGCAGAAAAATAAGGGTTTCAGGAGGTCGGGAATTATACTGTGGTAGAGTGAAAAATTCTACTATGTTAGCAAAGAGGCATTCATTAAAGAGATTTAATCTAATAATATCCGACCACAAAGGAATCAAAAGATGGACAAATAACTTAAATGTAAGAAATACGCTAGGCAAAGGGTCAACAGCGCCAAGACAAAGAAGTCATTTCGAGAAAGCAGAAGAAAGAACGCTTACAGAAGATGGATCCTCACTAAATCTTATTGCTTTCATGGAAATCGGAACATGAGAGCTGTCATATTATTATCATATTAAAAGTCTAATTAGCAAATAACCATTACTTAAGTGAATAGTTCAACATCATGGAGGCAACGGCATAGATTTGTACGAATCAGAATGTTGACACGGTCGATCGGTTGGTCACATGAGTCTATGATTTTAGGATTGCTCTTTTATATGTGGAACCTTGACCTGACCACTAACCACCGACTGACCACAATACTACGCCCATCGCTTAGAACTACGGGTATAAAGCGAGAAAATCAGGAACACTTAGAAAGATATCACATAACACAAAGTGAGTGAGCCATGCAATTGATGATAACGCTACTTATTACCCGACAGATACAAAAAGGACTTGCCATATGCCTAAGAACTTTTATAAAGAGGATATAGAAAAAACGAAAAAGCGCTCGCCCCCTAAACTTCCGACTCCATCTCAGTATCGTAATGGTGATTAAATGTACATTCGGTTTAAATAATGACTTGCAAAAATCTAATGGTGGTCAAAGTCAGTTGGCGGCCAGTCAGTCAATACATGGTCACAGTTAGTGTGGTGGATAACACGTGAGCCCCGGTTAGTGCTGCCCAGAGTCAGAAGCCCAATTGAGGTTCCGAGCATTACTCATATCTCAGCATCGCGATGGTTGTATTTCACGTCTTACCTCACCATGAAAAAAGAATATCCAGGAAATAAAGTTAAAACAATGTGATATAGGCTGCAGCCTCAGTTTAACTATGTTCAATGCCGACTTCTATACAACACATCATTCCCGTTGACGAGTGATTGGTGATAGCACCATTAGGGTAAAGAACCGGCCGAGAGAAACTTAAAGCAGGCGTCTTGGTTGGTGTAGGACAGCGCACGAGCGCAAGGGTAAGCGCGAGTCCGAAGCCCAAATGAGGTTCCGAGTCTTGTCCATATCTAAACATCCTTGTGGTTGTATTTCACATTGTGCTCTGCTATGAAAAAGGAATAGGCGTAAAATAATGGTAAAACACTGTGATCTCAAATGAGTGTTCTTCCTTTCCGGACAGGTATGGTAGAAATTTGCCACCGAAAACAATGGTATACAACACGCAGTTTGGCTGCGGAGGGAGATCAATATCAACAACTATTGTCTATTGCGGAGCACCGCTAACCACTTCACTATACAACTTTCAGTTCTTACGGTAGAACCTGACAAATTTGTTTTAGAAGAAACCTTAGTAGACCACTAACTGTAACTATACCTATTCGCGAAATCATAATATACATAGCATTACAATAGTATAAAAAATCAGAAACTGGAAAGAACTCTGACACTTTTAATAGTGGTCGACCTCTTCTCGGAACTGTTTCGTTGATGATCTTCAAATTAAAAGCCTATAAAAATTTCGATGACGAGATGAAAATGTGGAACGGCCACACGCAGTAAAGATGATTGCAACCAATTTCAATGCTGTAGCAAAAAAGTGAACCAGTTCGCTTCGAGTCGACGTAAGGCAGTAGAACAGGCAACGACGTCATCACAGCATTCTCACCACAACAACTTGATACTTACTTACTTGATACTTGAACGGCCCGTCCTCACTGGTTGTGCGGGTCCCAGCATAATCACTACTTTTCGGAGAGCTGCTGATTAAGCCATTGTGGTTCCTCGGAATCTCGCGGTTATCCTAGCCAAAGTCTACCCCAAATCTTCACCACCAGAGGCAGACGCAGCTCTTGTGGATCAGAGAAAGATTTGCCACCATGCGACTTTGATACCATGATGGTGGTGGATCGTGGTATTGGCGCACTCTTAGCTAGGCCTCCTGATGGAAACGCCGAACTCCTTCCCAGCTTGGGAGACCCTGCCTGGGAGACGAATCTCCCTGCTGTATATCACAGTCTGGCAGCTAGGTACACCTTCCAGCCGCGATGAGGCGGTAAGCCGTACGGAGGTCACCACAACAAATGAAAAAGAAAACGCAAATCACTTCGTGTCGGATCATAAAGACTACACAACGAAAATATTTACATAGAAGAAGAAAAAGATGGAAAGAACCCATTGCAATTAAAAAACTCTATCTAACGAAACGTCTAGGGATATATATATATATATATATATATATATATATATATATATATATGAAGAAGCAGGGTTGAGCCCAGTTATTATACACCTTTCACATCACTTTCGCTGGGTAAATTGGACATAACGATTTCAAACCTGATTGTTGTTGTCAGTTTTTTTCTGTTCAGTACATCTTTAGCTTAGAACACTAGTTCGATCAAAATTTACGGCAATACTTTTCTTAAGTAAAGTTCTCATGAATTACCCTTAAGCAAACCAACACTTCAAAATGCTAAGCCGTCTATGGAGAGTATTTTGAGCATAGGTTCAGACTGGATACCGGGATAAAGACTGCTAGAACATGAAATAGAGAAGTTGTGGCTGACAAGATCAACAGCGTAGAAAAAGGAAGTGAAAAATATTCAAAAGATAGAGCGAAACGTCTACAAACCCAATACAATCCTCAAAATATAACGACAACAATTGTTTTAATAATAGATATAGTGCTTTCAAGAAAAAGGAAAACTTGGCCATCAACAAAAGGGTTTAGGAAGGAGCCAAGGTATTGGAACACTAATAGCTATGTAATAAATGAAAACTGCCTATTTATCCCTACTAAGAAGTATTAACCGGGAGCGGGTGGTGCAGGGGTCGGAAGCGCCGTGAAATAATGCACGTGGAATCGACCCGGGCGCCCATGACCCACCAGGCCTTCTATCGCTCCGGGATAGACAAATTGGTGCCAGACTTGTCTGGAAGAATAGCAGAACTGGCTCGATACCTCGATGGACCACCGCGAGTCACTGTAAAGGTCAAATATGCATTCAATCATTCAATCACCTCCGAACGTTGCTTAATGAAGTCGAAAGTATGGCGCGTTCCTCAGTGATTGGTTAACGCTGGGAGCTTTTTCTTTTATTTTATCATTTTAAGAAGTATCAATCACAATTAAATTGTCCAAAGTATAATAAATGAGGACGAGATAATCGCCGACTATCCAGAAGACCATTAAAAATATGGTTAAAAAGCGAATGTGATGTTATTGTTATTGTTATTGTTATTTGTTACTGTTTGTTATTGTTACAACTGTTATTAATGGACCAAACCCGTCTCTTCTTAAGAAATAAAAGAATGTTGTTATTACTCACCATACATCACCGGATCATTGGACTAAAAAACGGCGAAAATCCTTTCAAATACGACGATCAAGTAGGGACGGTACCATTTTCTAGCGAGCATTAGAGCGCTCACACAGTTCATTAAAGGTCAACTATTTTGACTTCGTCACCAGCTACTCAACAACTAACTGCTGATAAACAATATGAATTCATTGCAGTTCTTTATATGATAACAACCTTACGGCTGCTCATATTTGACGTACCGTAACAACCAGTACAGTACCACTTCGTTAACATCAAGTCAAACGATTGCCAATAAAAGTAGACCATATACATCTTCAGATGCTTAAAGTACCAAACTATTCCTAATTTCAGGCATTTCCGATTTGTAAGGGACGTATTGTCATCAAGACAAAGAAGCGTCTTAGTGCGACAAAGAGACCCACTTTGCCAGCAACTGACTACCAAATCATTCTTAATCTCAGCAACAGCAAAATTGTACACAATTTTTAAAAACACTGATCAAAGAAATCACATTAACGTGCGATTTGTGGGCGTACAGTACAGAATGCCAGTGAAAGGAAGGCAATGCTCTGATTGGATGGCTATGTCACAAGTGCGGATCGATAACGAGAATCTCACGTCTACAGTAACACGTAGCACAACCGAAAATTACCAACAAAAGTATACATTCAGGAAACGTTGAAAAGACCCTTCCAATATCCTTTTCTTCGGATCCGTTTCTTTTATCAAAGAACAACAAAGAAAGAATAAACATATCATGTTTGTTATCGCCAAGAAATTCACAATTTCATTCTAAGACGATTACATGGAATAAGTAACAACGCTTTTTTTCGTAAAAAGCTAAGCGCCGTAGCACACCGGGAGCTTTCTCCTTAGCCTTGACTAGAGATGGCTTCCGGTTTCTGCCATGTTAAAAAGAAGAACATAGAAGCATTCCATCAGTAGACTGAAGAATAATATCCTCTCAAACTCTAACACGTTCTATGTAGAACGGCTGCGGATCTGAACGCTCTCTGATGCCGCATTACCGCTCTTTCCCTTTCAAATCTGTGACCTGGCTTCGTTTAAAATGTGAGAGGAAAGCCAAAAGCTATAGGTGCTTCGTTATCAATCGTATTCTAAAGCCATATGGCTGCTCTTAATGAAGCGGAATAAAGTACAACTGGAATTCCAGATACTGCGTCCGGAAAACCCGCACACTTCCGAATAGACGTTTGCTTTTTATGGTACCTGCAATCAATTCAAAGTCTTTTGCATGGAATATTTCGAAGTATTTGCTCGAGAACGGAAAGAAGGCCATCGACTACTTCGAAAACTGCAAACA